AAATATTCTGGTTAAATTTTGAATAGACTAGATAATAAAAGCAACAAACAGAATAGATTTGAAATGATTAGCATACAAAGAGCTAAACTAAATTTCACTATTACACGTTTAAAATGTTTAGATTGTTGCAAGAATGCATACAGTGATAGGAGCAAAAACCAGGATGAAATATGAGTCAAAATTGCACTATTATTTAAAAAAAGACACCTTCAGAATAATGTTAGATGATATTAGGAGGAGAATGACATTCCTCTCCCTGGATATTTTTCCTCCCCAACCACCCAGACTCCTATCATTTTTCATGACCCACTCACAAAGCTATCCTGGATCCCCACAGTTGGAGTTAATCTCATTTTCTGTGAACATCCAGAGTACTTCACCCTTGATCTTCAGCTGTTTATATACTTTATATACTTCCCTCATTTCCTTAAGGATTGTAAGCTCTTTGAGGACAGGGTCCATGACTAACTCATTTTCTGTATCCCATAATATCACATCTACTAGACCTTCAGGAAGCCTCTGATGAATGAAGGAACATAATTCTCCCACTACGTTAGAAACTCGAGTCTCCATTGTGTCCGTACACTTGGAGATAAGCAAAATAATTGAAACAGGTTCAGAACAGAATCATGAAACAAAATGATTAAAGAGTGATAGAAACAGAATCTAGATTTGTGGTTGGGGAGGAAGGTCAAAGGAATTCAGCCTAGAGAAGTGAGCTTTGGAAAATGCTAGCAAGGGATCTTCAAACATATTAAAGAGATAATATTAAAAGAAGGCTGAAGTTCTTTTTTATTGGAGCAAAACAAAAAATCACTCAGATTCTGGGCCGGCTGAGTGGCGTGATGGTTAGGAACTGGCTTGGGACGCCAGAGGGCCCCAGTTCGGATCCCACAAGGGCCAGTGACACTGCCCTCTGAAGAACAAAAGGACAGCAACTTGTCTGTTCCCCTTCCCCAATTCCCCAGCACTGTTCCCATCCCCCAATTCCCCAATAAAATCTTTAAAACATAAACAATAAATAAAAACAAAAAAAGCAGGTTCTGTTAGCAGCAGTATTTTTCCAGGACAGAGACTTTTTTCTTGTTCCAGAAATCAGAGACATGTAGGGGCACCTTTTATCAAATATCTCACTATAATAGATACATGGTAGAATTTATGATGTATAGAATAGTAATTCTGTACTTATTAGCACTTTGCATTTATAAATCACTGCTTTAATATGCACCATCTTTATATAATATAAAGTATTATATAATCTTTATACTCCTCCAATAAAGGTATTTTTATCCCCACTTTATAGATTTAAAAACCAAGGCTTACAGAAGTAATTTGCCCAAGTTTACGTGCATTAGGAGCCATGATTGAAAACATGCAGCCTTTCTCAACAATCCACACTCTTAACCAGGATGCCCCCTGATGCTTTTTACGTATTAGTTAACATCGTCATGGATGATGAGCACTCAATGACATAACATACGTAATGCTTAGCACAATGTGTGATACACAAAAAGTTCTCAACAAACCCTATTATAAGTGTAGTAACATTCAGGATACATGTCTGTATGTTCATATACAATAGATTGAAAATGTATACATTTTTAGTGGGTAGAAAAACCAGGATTCAGACCCTAGCCTTTTGCTGTCAGGGGTTGCCATTATGAAACAGACACAAAACAAAGAGTATTTTCTCCCTCTAGTGTATCTAAATGGCGCATAGATATACTGTAGCTCATGATTTTT